CAGTAGTAGCCGGGCATCATCTAGTTCTTCTGGTCTCATAGGAGGCATTTTTCTTATGCCAAAGATAACAAAGGGCCACTTTAAGCCAGAGCACTTCTGGGCTTCACCTCTTCCCAGACTAGCTCCCTTGATGTCTGTTTCTCTCAGTGTGACTCTTAATAGAAACTTGTCAACTTCTAGATGGTCATTCATTCAACAAATAGTAATTGAATGCCTTCCATGCAGGGACACAGAGGGGAACAAGGCAGACACAGTCCCTGCTATCACGCAGCTAACATTCTGTCAGGGAAGACAGACATTAAATGAACTAGTTGCAGAAGCATGTCCTTGCTAACTGAATGTGCCATGCTAAAGATGCATAGGATGCTGAGACCAAGCTCCTGGGGGACTACCTCAGTTCCAGTGATCAGTCAGGGAAGGCTTTCTTGAGGAAGCCACATTTAAGCCAAACTCTTGACAGTGTTTTCATTTCCTAGGCTACTGTAACAAATGACCTCAAACTGGATGGCTTAAAACAACAAATTCGTTCTCACAATGGTCAATGCTCTGCTGCTAACTAAAAGGTTGGCAGTTTGAATACCCCATGAAAGTCCTGTTTGCATAAAGATTATAGCCAAGAAAACCCTATGGATAAGTTCTACTCTGTAACACATTTGGTTATGAGTCAGACTCACTGAGGGCACCCAAAAACAACATACTGTCTCTGAAGGCTCTGGCAGACCTGTGTTCTCCTTGGCTTGTGGCAGCATAATGCCAGTCTCTGATTCCATCACCACGTGGCTGTCTTCTTTCTGTGTATGTCTCGTCTCTTTGTATAAGGGCACTAGTCATACTGGATTAGGGCCCACCTTAATCCAGTATGACCTCATGATAACTTGATTACATCTGCAAAGACCCTGTTTCCAAATAAGGTCACATTCCCAGCTACTGAGGCTTAGGACTTCCACCTAACTTTGGGGGAAATAATAGAGTTTAACCTGTTCCAGATGTTCCAGGTGGGAGTGAGAGGATAGCAATCACCCAAAGCAGTGGGTTTGGCCATGGGTCAAGGAAGAATGAGCAGAACCTGAAAGCAGGTTAACATTTGTGGTAAAGAAAACCAAGGGGGAGAGTCAATGATGGTGATACAGGCAGGTGCAAGGGTTCCAAGACCCTATGAAAAGCGCAATAGACCATTATCCTAAAAGAAGTGGGAAGCCCCTTACAGAAAGGTTTTAGCCAGGGACATGACTGATAACAAATTGTTGTCTTAATAAGATCACTCTGGCTACATGGAGGATGGATTTAGGGGAATGCAACATTGGATGTATAGAATTGAGTGATGGAGTAGATATAGAGGGTGAAGGGATTGAGGTTTCAAGAATGATACCTGAGCAATGGGCAGGTATTATTTCAGGAAGCAGAAAACTGAAGGAGTTACAAATTTCTAAGGGTGGAATATAGGTCTCTTTTAGCCATAATGAGGTTGAGAAGCTTGGGAGCCATACAGTAGCGAATCAGATAGGCCTCTGGGTCTATGGGACTGAGCCTAGAACTGATCACTGGAATCAGCATTCTGTGCTGAGAAGATAGCTGGAGGCTGGTTGGATAGATGAATCAGAACTGACATATACTGTTCCGAATAAAGGGGCACTTCCTCCAGGGTGGCTGTTCCAGAGCCGAGCAGAAAGCACAGAACATTCCTCTCTGTCTGCTAGCTGTTGGCTTTTCTTTGGTTCACCCCGTTCCCCATCCCCAGAGCCACTGAGGCTCTGACTACACCATTCCCTGTCTAGAGTTTCCGTTGCAGGGATGTCCTCTTCTCACTGTCCCTCTCTCCCTCTCCATTTAACATGCAAGTTGAACCAAGCCTTTTCCCTGCTGAAATGTTTTCAAGAGGGTGTCCTGCTCTTTGGGATAAAGTCCAAAAACCAGACATCAGGGCCTCTATAGACTAAGGCACAGCTTTCCTCTAGCATCTCATTTCTCACACTGTTCCCACCATCCTACATTCTAGCCATTCCAAACTGTACCTATTTTTCTTACCAGGAAAGATCTTCTCATACCTCCTTGCCCCTTCTATTTTCTGACTTGAAGGTCCTTTCCTCCCTTCAACCTAGAAAACTTCTACTTTTTTTCCAAAATGACTTTTGCTTGTTTTGTTAAAAATACATATGCCTGGGCCTGGTGGATTCTGATCCACTACGTATGGGGCAGAGCCCCGACCCTTGCACAGGTAGGGAGCTTCACAAGGGATCCTGTTGCATAAGTAGATTGGAGACCATACCAAGTCAAATCCACTGCCATTCAGTTGATTCCGACTCATAGTAACCCTCATTGGGTTTCCAAGGGGGTAGAGTTTTATGGAAATAGATCGCCCCATTTTCTTTCTGTGGAGCAGTTGGTGGGTTTGAACCACCAACATTCTGGTTAGCAGTCAAATGCCTTAGGCATTGTACCACCAGAGCTCCTTAAGTAGGTTGGAGAGCCACCCTCTTAAATGACTCTTGGGGAGGCACCTCTTTGGTGCACCTAAAGTGCCCATATGCATGATGCCACTTAACTGTGTTCCTTTTTAATTTTTTTTAAAAAATCATTTTTCATAACAGCCAGATTGGATTCCTTTGTAGCATATCAAAAGTTTTGACGTGTGGTACCTGGTTGTGATCTATTTCTCTCCTTCCTTCTTGTTGTTGTTATTATTATTATTATTTAAGTTATAGTCCAGACTTCTTTGGTTAAACCTTTTGGCATTTGCAAGAGATATCAGTTTATCATGTATGTCAGTCAGAGTTCTCCAGAGAAATAGAACCAGTAGAATAGAAATATATGTCTGGGGGTGGTGGGGAGAGAAAGAGAGATTGATTGATTGATTTTAAGGAATTGACTCACGTTATTGTAGGAGCTCACAAGTCCAGAATCCACCGGGCAGGCAGCAGACTGGAAGTTCCTCCAGCAGGTTGTCTATGTTATAGTCTTGAGGCAGAATTCCTTCTTCTCTTGAAAACCTCAGTTTCTACTCTTAAGGCCTACAAACTGATTAGACAAGGCCAATCCACACTACGGAGGATTATCTGCTTTACTTAGAGTCAGCTTGTTGTAAATGTTAGTCTCCTCAAAAAATATCTTCACAGCAACATCTAGACTAGTGTTTGATCAAACAACTAACTGAGCACCACAGCCTAGCCCACAAAATTTACAATCACATCACCTTTTTAAAAAGGTTCCTATGCTAATTAGCCTGTTAGCATTTGAACTGACCTTTTTCACTTCTCAGTCTATCTGGATGGAACAAAATCTGAAGAGGACCTCTTTTCACAAGTGTATGAAGATCTAATACATGAACTAGCAAAGCAAAAGTGTAAGTATTGTCCTATCAAAGTGGTTGGTATAGGATGAATTAGCATACATCATAGAATGCTAATGTAAGAAAGGTCTTATTTATTCATACGTTCATTTAGTCATTGCTTTGAAGATAATTCAGACTCAGAAATACTGAATAAAAATAATTATTTTTGACTTTAAGCTTAGGGACTTAATTTTACCTACTTCTCAATCATTGTTGTAGTTAGGTTCCAAAGACCAGGTTGTTATGAAAATATCAGCACTGTGCAAAAATCGAGAATGACCACATCAGATTGCAAAATGGAGGAAGACTACATCATTACATAACTGTCAAACCACTGAGAATCATGGCTCAGTCAAGTTGACACAGAAACTTAACCATCACAGCCAGCATTACTCTTGCCTCATAACTTGGTGTTAGCTACCAACAGACATACATTGTTAGTGCACAAAGTTAGTTGGATCGTACTTTTTTTACTATTGTTGTAAGTGCAAAATGTGTAATAACAAGGTAGTTGATAAGTGAAGGGTAGGTGTATTTTGTTGGTGAGTCTTTATGAAGGTAAAAAAAAAAAGTACCCTTTTTTTACATCTCTTAATGAAATTTGTGTTACTTAGTTTAAAAGTTTTCATAGATGGTGGTCATTTCAATGAGACTGAAATTATCCAATCTCATTGGGAAAAGTGAAGTTAAAATGCTGGTGATTTTGTTTTAATATGTCTAGAGCTACCCTAAGGGGGTCTAGTGGCACAGTGGTTAAGGCATTCAGCTGCTAACCAAAAGGTTGACAATTCACACTCACCAGTAGCTCGAGGGGAAAAGGTGAGGCAGTCTGCTTTCATAAAGAATGCAGCTTTGGCAACCCTTTGGGGCAGTTCTACTCTATTCTATAGGGTCATGTTGTTGTTGTTAAGGTCATGATGTGTTGGAATTGACCCCGTAGCCATGGGTAGGTTTAGAGATACCCTTTATTTCCTCTTAAAGATTTTCCATGAATTTCTATTTTCCAAATATCTCAAAAATAAACAAATGATATTTAGAGTTATTTGTTGAGTGTTTCTTTAAGGTCGTTGTATTAGCATTTTTTGCAAGTGGCAGAAATCCACCTAATACTGAGTTAAGCAAAAAGGAAGTATGGAGGTGGCAGTGACTTCAGGCTTAGCTGCCTCTTAATTCCACTTTCTGTTTGGATTTATTTTGAAGTCAGGCTCTCTCCACTGGCAGATATATATCCTCCTAGGTTTAGCAACACTAGTGAGAAAGAAATAAAAAGAAAAATAATTTTCCAGATTGGCCATGAGTTTGTGGGAGTCAATATGAGGGTGTTTTATTCATTATTATTATTACTTTAGTACAGGTTTAAAATTATCTAATTAGAATAGTGTTTTTAAAAATCAGTTTTTCACTTTAGCCCAGCTAATGAGTCCCAGGGAAGACTTTGACTGGTTCTGCTTGGGTTGTATGTTTTTTGCTAAGCCAATCACTGTTGCAAGGAAATGGCAAACTCGGATTTGTCCGGGACTGAATCATGTACCCCATCTTGTAATCAAATACCCTACCTAAGGCCTCCTGGAACTGAAGCAAGAAACTTCCTGAAGGGAAAGCAAGTCAGGAGAATGAAACGAGGAGGAGGATGAGAAAAAAACAGGCTAGGTAGAGAAAACCATAAATCTGGCTGTTGTTTTATTTTAACTATTTGAACTAAAAGGATTTCCATGGCTAACACATGCAGAATACAGTCATCAGCTGGAAAGAGGAGACAGTCTGAGTTACTCCAGTGGTCAATTATGTCCCATACTTTTCTGGTGAGAAGCGACTACTCTCAGTATAGCTGTCATCATCTCTCAGTAAAAATTAGATTTCCTATGTCTTTACTTAGGAGCTCTGGTGGCATAGTGCCTAAGGCATTTGACTGCTAACCAGAAGTCTGGCAGTTCAAACCGACTAGCTACTACTCGGAAGGAAGATTGGGCAATCTACTTCCATAGTGATACTGCCTCGGAAACCCAAGGAGGGGTCACTGTGAGTCGGATCCAACTTGACAGCAGTGAGTTTGGTTTGGTTTATGTCTTTACTTATTCCTGTCTGACTCGGGGACTGAGCCCCACCAGGCAGCTCACTGATCCTGTTGGTGTTAGCTGCTGTTGAGTTGGCCCTTCACTCATGGTGACCCCATGTACAACAAGAGCAGACCCTTGTGATCCACACGGTTGTCATTGACTGATTTTTGGAAGTAGATCACCAGACCTTTCTTCCTACTCTGTCTTGTCTGAAGCTCTGCTGAAACCTCTTCAGCATTATAGCAATATGTAAGCCTCCACTGAGCTTGAGGTACATTGTTTGGGAATCAAACCCAGGTTTCCTGCATGAAAGGTGAGAATTTTACCACTGAACCACCATTGGCGCCCCCCCCCCCCCCATTGATCCTAATCCAGAAAAACCCATTGCCTTTGAGTTGATTCCAACTCATAGCAACCCTATAGGACAGAGTATATCTTCTCCATAGGGTTTCCAAGGCTGTAAATCTACAGAAGCAGGCTACCACATCTTTCTGCCATGGAGTATGGTGGGTTCAAACCATCGACCTTTAGCGAGTACTTAACCTCTAATTTCAGGATCAGCTCTTCATGTAGGCATGAACCCACTTGAAATTTCAGGACCATTCTAAAATCTCCTCCTGCAAATAGGACTTGTAATCTTTGCCAGATAGGCTCACCCAGCACTGCCATCTGTTGTTTGATAAAAGGCACGCCTCCCATAGTGAAGCTCAAGCACTACCACGAGGTGGGTATAGAGCGTGTGGTGAAGGCGGAGGTTCACCCTCATAAATGATAGCATGTAAGTCCTGAAATGATAAGAAGCAGACAGGCAGAGCCACCTCTCTAGTCCTAATGAGATCTCCCAAGGGTATTTCAGCTGCCAGATACCTGTAGCTTTCCAGTTTCTCAATAATGGCCAGTGCTCGGCCCAGTTCTGTGTTCACGACTAGCTCATACACTTAGGATCTGCCTTTTGATAAAGATGAAAGTTGCCTTAGTCATGTAGTTCAAGCAAATTGTGCCCAGCTCCATTGTAAATGCCAGCTTCTGCCATCTGTCCCAAGGCTCAAGGACAGCTGACATGCTTTGACAGGTGCTCAAAGGCACAAGAAAATATATTTCCATGTGTGTGGCCTATATTCTAGCTGGAGGTAAGGAATTAATCAGCTATGCCATTTAAGGCTCATATCTTGTTCCAGCAACTGGATAAGGTTCAAAAAGAAAAAAATAGGAACATTAGAAGAGTCATAAAGCTGAAGCAGATCAGCTTTTCCTACCTCCAAGATCTATGTTATTTCTCTTTCAGTTGTATAAATAAGTTACTGTGTTATTTATAGTATTCTTACCACCTTAGCAGTTCTTCTAACCACAGTACCCTGGCAGAGCCAGCCTAGAGAGATCCTCGGCAGAGTCCAGTTTAACCATCAGTGCAAGGCTGAGCTGGCTGGGGAGGCCCCTCAGGTGTCCCTGTTGACTGCTCCTCAGGCTTGTCCTCAAAGCAGCACATAAATCTGCTTAGCCAGGTTTTCATTCTAAGCATGTAAAATACCAGTTGTGACAAAGTAACAGTAATGAAAGAGAAACAAGGATTGAATTTAATTATTAATGAAACATGGAATAACCCAGGAGAGTACAGTTATCAAGTTATACATTTAATTAAGTACTTATTTAAATCCTAACTTTGAGGCAAAAACTAATCATTACCTATTCCCAACTAAACAAGGCAGTCTAACCACCAAGAACATTCAAACTTCCTCTAAAAACATTTGTTTTCGTCTTTGAGGTATGTAGTGGTACAAACTATGCATGTACTCAGATGCTAACTGAAAGATTGGAGGGTTGAGGCCACACTGAGATGCCTCAGAAGAAAGGCCAGGCGGTCTCCTTTCAAAAAATCAGTGATTAAAAACTCTGCGGGGCACAGTTTTACTCTGACACACACAGGGTTGCTATAAGTTGTAATTGACTCAACAGCAACTGGTTTCTTTTTTTAGCTATTTTCATGTCATTGGGAAAGCATCATATTCATTTTAAGTAATTTTTTAAATAAAAGCAAAAGTGGAGAAAATATTACTAACCTATATGCCAGCCATTCAGCAATGTTGTTATTTTCATGAGTTTACATTCCAATCTGTTTACATCATAGTCTCCCTTTGATAAGACATTGCAAGGACACTAGTTAATCAGCTATGCTTGTTCCTGTTTGTAAATTGCTATTTAATATTTAAGCAGTTTCATAAACTTCCTTATATAATGAAATAATAAAACTAAGAATCTCTCCCACATAAAGGATTGAAAACTAAATTCTGTTTTGTATATTGAAAGTAAAACAAAGACATGACATTGACATCTTGGTGAAGAAGAAAGATACCACATTTCTAGCTTCAGATCAAAGAAATAAGAAATCATAAAATAAAAATTTAATAATAGAATGTTTATATTTTCCTACATTGAATTGCAACAACAACAACAACAACATTGAATTTAAAATATAACTTCTAATTATAAATGATTATTGTTGTTGTTGTTATGTGCCATCGAGTCAGACCAGACTCATAGCGACCCCTCCTTGGGTTGCCGAGGCAGTATCACTATGGAAGTAGATTGGCCCATCTTCCTTCCGAAAAGTGGCTAGTGGGTTTGAACTGTCAGCCTTCTGGTTAGCAGTCAAGTGCCTTAGGCACTATACTACCAGAGCTCCTTATAAAGTAATAGTGTAATTAATATAGGAGTCCAGATGGACTTATATAAACATTTCTCTATTGTTGAATATTTAGTGTTGTAAATTTTTCACATTGATAAATAACATGCTGTAAAAAATATCTGCCCATATTGCTGATTTTCTTCTTTTTGAATTATATCCCTGGGATAAATTTCCAGAATTTGACTAACTTGGTCACTTTTATATTTCACATATTTAAAGATTAAATACTACATATTTTTTTAAAAATTTGCATATCTCTGACAGAAGCTATGGTATAGTAAGAATGTTGCAGGTTTATCATTGAGTTTCTAAGTCAAATGACCAAGTATTCAGCTGGCTTCATGGGTTAGGTAAACAGACTAATGGTAGTAATACTTCTTTCCCCGAATCCAGGATAACACTACAAAATAAGAATTATGCTATAGCCAGCTAGCTTTTGTGATACTCTTTTCAGCACTCTTTGTATCTTTGTGATGCTGTTTTATTCCCTGAATTCAAGGATTCTTATACCTGAATAGCAAATGATGTTGAGTATATGATATCTTAAGCTGTACTTAAATTTAGTATAAGGAATAAAAGAACAGGACTTGGACTTGATTTATTTCTTTAAGAAAACCAGCATTTTGATTCCAGAATCACTATAATCCTATCATCCTTAAATTAACTTTTGTTCATATGATAATCTAATAAAATGAGAATTGGAATTCTCCATTAATTTCTATTTATATTTATTCCCAAGGTATGCAAGTAACAGCATAAAGATGGAATGCACTGAATCCTCCCTGAGTAAATTATGAAACTGGAAGGAATATATTCAAGAACCTTAATATGCTATGACAGCTGTTTTTTTGTTTGCTTTTTAATCATATGTGGTTTTTCTCCAACGTTTGGAACAGTAAATAGCTATCCATGCCAGTGGACAGAATTTACCTTAATGGGTTCTCATTCCAGAGAGCACATAGATGTAGCACAGCTAACAGTCAGTAAATCAGTCCTCTGTATTAGTGGTTTTCAAACTTTTCTGACTGGGACCCAGAGTAAGAAATAAGGTTTACATCAAATCTAGTATAGATACATGATGTACTGTGTGTGTATGTCCCTGTGTTTATGTATATGTGTATTTTATGTGTGTGTGTATGTGCATATGTGTATGTGTATATACATATAAACATATCAATTGTCACAAAAATATTTAGCATATTGGTTTAGAAAATGCTGTTACATTCCATCCCTGTACCTACAAATAGGTGCAGTGCCTAGCACCTACAAATGATGTCATAACTGAAGTTGCAATCAGATTGAATAAATCAGTACTTTACTATCGGCTGTTTTGTTTGTTTTTGTTTTTGCATGTGTCTTGTATCACTGGGAGGAGTCCTGGTGGCACAGTGGTTAAGTACTAAGCTGCTAACGGAAAGGTTGGTAGTTCAAACCCACCCAGCAGCACCACAGAAGAAAGGCCTGGTGATCTGTTTTCATAAAGATTACAGACTAGTAAACCTTATGGAGCAGTTCTACTCTGTAACACATGGGGTCACCATCAGTTGAAATGGACTCACAGCATCTAGCCCATTGACAACAGTACCACTGGATCATTGTGTTACTTATGTTGAGCCTTTGTTAAAGATGAAGGAGTTTTTCCTGTATTTGTGTGTTTTGGTTAAACCAAAGATCTAAAATCACAGATAGAAGCAGTTACTTCAATAATATATAACACAGGGAATCTTTCTTTCAAATTCACATGCAGAAGATCTGAATCGTGATTTTTTTTTTTTTTTTTTTTAGATCTCGTTCAGTGCTGAAACTTTTATAAAGCTTGTTGTTGTTGTTGTTGTTATGTGCCGTCGAGTCGGCCCCGACTCATAGCGACTCCTCCTTGGGTTTCCGAGGCAGTATCACTATGGAAGTAGGATTGCCCAACTTTCCTTCCAAGGAGTGGCTGGTGGGTTTGAACCACCAGCCGTCTGGTTAGCAGGCAAGTGTCTTAGCCACTATGCTACCAGAGCTCCCTTTTATAAAGCTTAGATCACTGTAATTTGTGTTATTAAATCAGTAGGAGTTTGTTTTAGGCTGGTAAGATGGAAGAATAGGCAGACAAGCAACACAGACCCTCTTCAACAAAGAAAAGAGAAACCAATTGGCAGAGATACAGAACATAATCCTGGAGCCCTCAGCTTTGAAAGGAAGTATCTAGAAGTGGATTAGGTACCAACTAGTAGAAAAATCTGAACGAAAACAGTGAGTGTGGAGACGGTCAGAGCAGTGGACTGTCAGCTACTCTGAGAGGACCAACAGCCTGAATATTTCCAAGTGATGCTGGGACCTGAGAATTGACCTAAAGATCAGCCCTGGTCACCAAGGACTGCAGGGACGACGGCTCTGGTGGCCTTTGACTAGGAAGGGAAACAGCAAGGAGGGAGACAGTCTGGGCTGTGGACTTTCTGGTGTCTGGAGGGTGCAGCCATTTTGATTGTTTACAAGCGACAGCCATTTTGGATATTTAAAGTGACCGAGGATGCAGCCATTTTGAATGTTTACAAGCAGTGGCCATTTTGTATTTTAAAGTGACAGAATTCTCATTTGGATTCCAGGGACCAAAGAATAAGCTCCATTTGCCAAGGACACCAGGGACATAAGGGAGGCTGACAACAGGAAAGGAGACAGGTGGTGAGTATATAAGTGCTGCCAACTACTGAATAAAGGAGCACAGTACCCTGCTTACTTAGATAAAATCCAAAGAAAACAAAAATAGTGGACAAGTCACTTCAACGTACAATCACCAATTAAATATAAACAGAAAAATGTCATAATGTCTCAGAGACAACAGAGCATCACAGTGCACACAAAGAAGCAAGATAAAGCAGGAGAAAGAAGGGACCAGGATACCGACCCAAAACACATCCCGGAGGAAGACACAGCATTGGAACTCCATGATAAGAAATTCAAAAGAACTATATTTAGGTATCTTCAATGAATTGAGATCAAGGAAATCACTGACAAAATTGAGGAAAACACAGAGAAAACCCTAGAATAATTTCAAAAGACAGTACAAGAACAAAATGACAAAATAAATGAGAAATTACAAATGATACAAAATCTATGGACAGAAATCCAGAAGATTAATACTAAATTTTCAGAAATCGATATGATATTGAATGGGCAAAGGACTAGAATTGAATCAATAGAAGACAGCATTAGTGAGATTGAAGGCAAATACCTGAACACTTCTTTGGAAAGAGATCAATCAGAAAAAAGATTAAAACAAAATGAAGAAAGCCTAAGTTTCATGTGGAATAACCTACATGTAATTGGAATTCAAGAACAGGAAGAGACAAATAAAACTACAGAAAAAATTGTCGAAGATTTGTTGG